AAGAAACTGTGGCCTAGATCTGTTATTTCAACGTAATCATGATCATGAAATCATGAAAATATAACACAAACTGGTGACTTAGGTACAAACTGAGGTTTGAGTGTTTGTACGTGTGAGAGTTCTCACCTCCATGCGTCGGATGTCAATGGATAGTACTGTGGTGAAGAAGAACATCTGCAGGAAGAAGTCAGACACCAGCCCCACAACAGCAAACAGACAGAACTCCTACAGCATACACAAACCAGAGGAGACATCAGACCAGCATCCAGGCAAAGCACATGTTAGCATTTCTCACTGTAACAAATGGTAACAAGCTGTGGCACAAGCAGTGCAGTAGCTTGCCTGTAACATTAAATGGTAGATTACAATGAGAAATGTCGAGTGTGCCATGTGTTGCAAAAAGGACATACAATGCTTAGTGTGACAACTGAAATATGGTTGAGACATATCTCATATACCCGTATATCTAAGATAAGATATTTCTGTTACCTGAATAGCTGGCACCAGAGTGAAATACCCAATGAGGATGATGCACAGTTCAGTGGCCATGTTCTTCATGATAGACCAGCTCTCATTACTAAGGCCTGGAGAAACAAGAGAGATACTTTTCTCCAGACTCCAAAAGTTGAAATATTTACTTTTAGAGAAGAATACAACAACCATTTGGTTACTAGTAGAATTTATGAACTGATTAATCGTCATCTGGTTGCCTTACCCTGAGCGATGCGGAGTTTGACCTCAAGGTCGACAGGGGTGGACACCACGGACTTGGTGAGGACCAGGACGTTCTCCAGGCCGATCACCACCACCAGGTAAGGAAAAATCTCACTGCAGACAGAAAACAACAAAACTACTAAACAAAGGAATAAAATGGAAAAAAATTTAACCAGGACTCACTGAGTGTAGGTGTGCACACAGAAACACATGATCATTACCAGGTTAATGTATCCTTGCCACATTAGAAGTTTTTTTTCTTTTTTTCTTTTGGTAGAACAAACTTTTCTGTCTTCCAGAAATGGCTGTGAAGAATCATCTCACTCACTGAATGAAAAGTGTTTCCATCAAGATGATAATTTACAATACGTCAGCTGTAGCGCTGCAACACTTAAAATCGACTGACTGATTAGTCGATCGAAAGAATATTAATTGCCAACTATTTTGATATTCCGTGAATCATTTCAGTCCATTTTCAAGCAAAACTGGCCAACATTTGCAGGATCCAGCTTCTTAAATGTAAGAATTTGCTGCTTTGCTTCTTCATTGAGAGTAAATGAGAGTTCTGTACTGTTGATGAAAGGAAGCAATTTGAAGATGTCACTTTAGACTCTGGGAAATTGTGATGAGAAATGTTCACTTTAATTTCCACGTTAATTGTAAAAAAAATAGTTAATAGATAATAACTGTTAGTTGCAGTCCCAGTCAGCTGAATCAATAACAGAATAGATGATAACCACACTCAAAATTGTCTATAAATATTTGGCGGTGTGTGCAGGGAATTTCCCACTCTGTTAAAGTGTACAGAGAGATTAGTTTATATAGATAAGCTTGTATTGTAGAGGTAAGTGTATAACTGGGTCACGGAGGAGTCAACAGCTCCGCATGTTACATCAGACGCACCCAGTAACACTGTACATATCAAAAGGAACACACAACTCAACACTACTCAGAAGCCCTGCGTGCAGAGTCAACCATGACTAAGCAGCATGCGTAGCTTTCATGCATATCTTGACAATGTTGACCTTGATGTGTGTTTATGCAAATACACGCAGAAAGTACAAGCGCCAGTGGACTCTGCGTGGATCCTGGTCAGTGGTTGGACAGCAGTGTGCCGTTATCACGCCACGATGTCCGCATTCTAACAATCCTCAAATGATTGGACAACCAGTGAATGTCAACACCAGTATATCTCCACCCCCTCGAGAAGTCCCACCCACATTCACGCCCCGTCCTCTTTTTTTTCCATCTGTGCTAACACACTGACTTTATGCTCCCTTGCTGTACACATTAACGCAAATCCATTTAAAGTCAATGCAGAGGAAGTGGGAAGTCAGTAAGTCTGTGTGTGTGTGTGTGTTTGTGGGTCTGTCCTTGTCTTTCCGTGAATAAGATAATAAATAATGATACTGCAATGGGCAGATGGGGCAGTAAATATTAACAGGATACATTTGAATGTCAACAGCAGACCACAATGAGGACTTCATAACAGCTGCAGAAGTTGTTCCATCTGTGACCTCGAAGCTAAAGTCAATGAGGTTTCTGTGACCTACCATAAGGAAATGAATACTTTCGGTTAGCGGTATGGCTTCCTCTACAGATCTTGATAAATTTACCTTTATCGAAATAAATGTCTGCACAGCACAAGTTGTAAGATACACGTTGACATGTTCCTGGTTTAAGACCGAGCGTCTACAGTCACACTAGCAGTGGTGATTTTATTATGCTAACCTCAGAATGCTACCATGTTAACAATGACAATTTGGTATTGGACACATACGTGCTTCATGAGAAGGATCACCAAAGTCTTAAGATTCATCTGGGCACATGGATATCTGTACCAAATGTTGTGGCAATGCATCCAATGCTTGTTGATATATTTTAGTCTGGACCAGACCGACAGACCGACACGAAGCCAAGTTGCTGACGTGGTTAATAAAATTTACCCAACACTTGAACAAGTTCTCCTCTCCTCTAAAGTTAATATAAGCAGTGGAAAAGTCATTAAACAAAACTTCGACCAAGCTCTAAGCAAGTGCAGGCTTCTCTAGGCTTTTCTATACTCTTGCACCTCATCAATCCCGTTACTCATTTTCATTTTCTGAATTGGCTCCACACTTGTAGGCTTTAAGGTTATGGAAATCATTTACGTTAAACTATTTATTTTCTAGGGGCAAAAATAAGTCACAGTCTCTAAGCATTCAGCTTGGTTTTTGAGGCATACTGTAGGCAGACAGGCAAACTAACGAACAAGGGTGGAGATAAAAACCTCTTTGGTAATCTTCCAAAACTGAAGTGTGTAGAAAACATTTGGCATTCCTACCCTCCATTGAGCGTGGGTGTCAGTCCAAACAGGGTACATAGTCCAACAGACATGAGCAGAGAGCTGAGGACCGTCACCACGGCAGCCAGAGCCAGACCCCACTTTGACTTCACCATGTCAATCTTACCTGCAGGGAGGAAAAGAAGATATTGAGAAGAGGACACAATAACTAGCCATACAACTGTTACATTAACTATTCACCACCTCATCCATTTGATTCGAGTTGCCAAAAGTTTTAGATGCGAAGAAATTCAGGATTTCTAATATTAAATTGTTCCAGTATTAATAACCTTTTAAACACTGACCTTGATAAAATTCTTTTGATGAATCAAATTTTTTTTAAACCCTTTAAACTATGTGTGACAAAAGTGACAATTTTTCAAACTATGAAGGTTTTTCATTCCAACATTAATTCTGCAAATCCCTCCGTTGTAAAGCTCTAGCAACATAATAACTGATTAATAGAAAAGGAAGTATATTTTATAGCTATGCCAGCAAAGAGTAAAACAATTATAGAATAATTATTCTCAAGAAATTAAAAAACAGAGAATAGCTTCTCTAAAGACACATTTTACTTTCCTAAAAATAAAAAATAATAAAATGTTACATGCAATTTTTAGGTTACTTTGGCACATTACATTTGAAAAAAATAACATCTTTAATTAGATGCCAAATAATCAGCTTGAGTGATAATATTTATTTTGTGTACTTTGTGTGAGTGTGTGCTTGTTCCATGAACTAATATTTGTACTGGCAAGTCGCTGAGGGTTAGGTGAGTGCATTCTTACAGCGGTGTACAATGTTCTTGTGTGAGGATTATCCCTGCACCAGACAGGAACAACCTTGGCACACAAACACACGTGCACACAAAGGCGCAACAGGCACGAGTCTGGATCTTTGGCACATTTTAAAGATTAAGTGGTGCGAAAAGCGAACAAAGAAAGAAAGAAAGCGAGACGGTAAAAAAGGATGGCAGAACGAGACACACGGGACAGAGCAGACGGGCAGGGAGTTGGACTGACGTGTGGAGAAGTAGATGTAGGCAAAAAGGATGATGTATGTGGTGACGAGGGGGATGAGCTCAGCGATGCCGATCTCCTCTTTGAAGTGGACGTGAACCATGTGGTCGTCTCTCAAGCTGCAGTTGGCTGACGGGTGGAGTTGCTTCAGACGGGCCCGCAGGCTGCCCAAGAACCTGGACACACACACATAGACGTCAAGATCAACATCAGCACTGCAGATACCAGATAACTGATTAACGGTATACGATTGCTGTAAGGAAATGGTAGTAAGATGCAGATGATTAGAAGTTGTCAGAACAAATTAGAGATAAAAATAGAGAGAAGCTCAAGCACCTTATAACTTCTGGCACAATCTAAAAAATGTACATATAAACAGAAGTGGTAGACTTTGTACCAAATGCTAAACAAAATGTACATTTCACAGTAATAAGGGGATTTTTGAGCATATTTAGAAATATATACAAAATATATGTAAAACTGCACTTTATCTCTCTCTTCTATTGCATATATAACTCACCTTGCATCGTAGCTGGACAACACAAGAGTGATTGTGTATGTAACCACCCTCTTCCTGTTGTAGTGACTGACCCCAGTGTATTTTCCAGGGACGCCAAACAGCAGGTCTAAAACACACACAATTTTTTTTTAAACACATGTAGCATAGCACATTCATGTAAATAGCTTGAAAGTACGATTTCTGTTGTAGTAACAAACAGGAAGTCAAAAGTCGCCAATCCAGACGTTATGCAAGAACATAACAGCCAACTTAACAGCCCTACCGTTGTATTATACTGTATATAATAAGTACACTCAATAAAATCTGTGTGCTAAGACAATCTTTACAGGAGTATAAAGCCTTTTGTATTAATAAAGAGGGATTATGGTGGGAGTGTGGAACCCCCCCTCTGTCTCGCTGTGGCTGTGAGGGGGGACATACTTTATGATCCAGGTTCCTAAGGCAGTCTGACTGGCCTTCCAGCAGCTCAGTGTGAACAAGAGTATCAGTCTGACTGTATCTGCCAAGCTGTCTCTGACTCCAGCTCCAGAATAAGCTTCCCACCTATAAATCACTTGAGCTGGGAGGTGAGGCAGAATGCTGAGCTGGCTTTGGCAGGGTGATTTGGTTCACTATGTCAGTGGGTAAAGTTTTAGAGAGAATTCACTTCCCAAGGAATGAAACTGCTTGTTCTCTGTCAATACGAAAGCTGCTTAGTTTTCTGATACCACTAATCCCCTGCTCACCACCTTCCTACAATTACTCCTCTTGAGTGATTGCAGACTCCTCGCAACAAGGCAGTCAAAGTATGAAAGCCTCTGAATAAACGCCACTCCTTCATTTTGCACTTTGGTGATACATTTTAAACAACTATACCAACCATCATCTGATGTGGTGACACCATTATAATTACTACAAACAACTCACTTGTTTGTAGCCTTTGTGTCAACAGTGCTCCGCATACACTCAAATAGGCTATCAACTCTGAGACTGACAGCCTCTACCGGAGTGTAAAATGCATTTTCCTTGGTGAGTCATCTAGGATACACTTAATGGCACGAAACAGGAAGAGCACACTGTTCTCGCAGCAAGTTAAGACAGAAATCCTCAGAAATCAAAGGCTTTCCTAGAAATGAACTGATGGTGGAAGCAGTCAAATACCAATGAAAACAATTACTATAATATTAGCCTTCATATTATTAGAAGCCTTAAAATCTTCTGAAAAGGTTTGCAGAATATATTGACCAGTGAATGATGTTTACTTTTGCAGATATTTTCCACATTATACACTCAATGCCCGTCATAGGTCAAGGCATGAGTCTGTTAAAAACACTGTACACAGGAGCATTTGACAGGTCACAATGACATATCAACACATCATCACATCATGTTCTATCAGCTCTGAACAACTCAGTGTCTGTAAGTCACATCTCACTCCAGTTTTCTCGCTTTGATTTAATATCCCTAAAGCAAAAAAAAAAGGGAAAGAAACTTTTCCATGAGCATGTGTACAAGCCATCTATTAACCATCCACCCCTCCACCCGAGTCCTTACCTCGCAGCGTAGCCGAGGTGTGCAGGCCTTTCGGTTCATGTTTCTGGATGGTCTTGAGGAGATCGGGGTCCGAGTCGAACAGCTCCCGCTGGTTCTGCCAGTAGTTGCCGGGAGAAACGAGCAGGCAGCCGTGCTCTGGCAGCACCGACTGCATCCGCCGCAAGCCTGGAAACAGGCCTGTCACCTGGAGACACAGCGTCTCCAGACTGCGAATCCCGGAGCTGACAGAAGAGGGAGGAGAACACAGAGGAAGAGGAGTTGATTGACAAAGCTCACAAATACTAAAAGCTCCTCAGGTGATTACTATTTGAGCAGAAGATCATTTATTAGTTATCTATTAATTTAACAGCATAATTGAACAACAATAGGACAAGGGACGTATGTCATTCAATTCACTCTTGGAGTTTTAGATTTAACAGACTTCATGCAGATAAACTGCTCTGTACAACTTCCAAGCAAAGCCAGAAACTGTCCTACGAATCAGCCTCATATCAGCTGGTGCAGTGCAGCTGTCCAACAAACAGGTCTGGAACACAGCATGTGCCTAACCTTCACAACAGATCAATGACTCAGCTTTTTTTTTTTGAAGGTTTGAGATGTTTTTCTTTCTCTCACGCCAAAGGCAAAACAGTTTTAGATTTATGGCTTGACTTTGAACACGTGCAGGGGGACAGACTCCAACATGTGTTAAAAAGCAGGTGTGTTTAAGACGTGGGTGACAGACTTTATATATTCGGTTTGTCTTTTCCTCCACTAAAAGGACATTCTAATCTATTAGAAAATTAATCTTCAGATATTTAAATTTTTCACAAAAAATCCCAAACATTCTCTGTTTCAGCCTCTGATACGTGAGGAGCTGAAACTTTTCTCCATTTGAAATATTGTGGGTTGAACATCTTCAGGTTAAGGACAAAACAAGCAATTTTAAGACTTCAACTTCTGTGCTGACAATTTGACATCAATATTCTTAATCGGTCAATCCTTTTTTACATAAACAATTATGTAAAAAACGTTTGCAGCCGTGCTATACACATGTTGATAGAGCCTGATCTTCTTCTACGGGTTCGTCATCTGACCCTGTGTGCGTGTTAGTGTGTACCTGTCGGAGTGAACGTGGTTACGGATCTCCTCCAGCAGGCTAAAAGCTCGACTCAGCGGCGACCGAAACACGTCCACCGTCACCAGGCTGCTGTCCCACGGAGACACCGCCGCCTTCACCAACACCTGCTGGATGTAGGCAACCGGAGGGCCCCGGTACTGCAGCACACACACACGCAAACATGCAAAGGGATGCACAAACATGAAGGTGACACATTCAGACACGACATGAAACATGTGTCTACTGAAGCAGCCACATTAGCAGCTGGCCTATCATGGTCTCTCAAGAACTCACACAATGAATGTCCTCTGTAAATTTATGAGCCTCCATCTTTGCTGTGAAACCTGCGTGACTACATCTGGGTCTGAGATCTACTTTCACACGGAGGCCAATTTTGTTAAAAGACATCAGATTAAGGTTAGGATTCAGATTTTAGATCATAATTAGTCTTAGTTTGGGACGAGGATTAGGATTCAAGGTTAAGGAATTCATGCATTTAAAAAAGGAATAAGGACAAAAGTGACAGTCAGAATTAATATTCTGGGATGTATATAAATGTGTGCGCTTTCTCTTCTCCTACCCAGTCGGGCCGTTCTCCGAGGTCTCCCTGGGGCTCATGGGAAGGGACGCTGTAGTCTCGCACCCCTGTGGTGAACTCCACAGGACCCGTCCCAGGCAGGGGAAGCCTCAATAACGGATAGCTGGGAGAGAGAGAGGGAGGGAGGGAGGGAGGGAGTTGGGGGTTACAGGGTACATAAGAGATGTGAAACACAATCTTTATATGATACAATACAAAATATAAGCAGCTGATACACAACCAGATCATACTTAATAAATGTATCTGGAATTTGAATATAATATACGCATTGAAAGGAGGTGGACAGGTATAAATAATACGACTGATGGTGCAGTTATGTTAAAGCTTCTGTTTATAGGTGTGTGACGGTGCTATGTACGTAGGGAACATGAAACCAGGGCCTCAGGCGTTTGCTACCTGGAGAGACCCATTCACTCTTTCTCCTGGAAATGGGTGGGTCCTTAGGAATCACGTTCCCTTTGAGCACGAAACACCACTTACTGCTTGTTCTGCTGGTGTGTGTGTGTGTGGGGGGGAGCTCGCAAGTTTATTTTCAAATCATGTCGAGCAACCCTGACACATAGCTTAAAAAGATTAAGGCACAGTGTTCTTCTGATTGAGAACAGGCATTCCTGTGTACAGGAGTACCTGTGTTCTTTCCTTCTGCCTAATGATCACGTACAACCGCATAGCAGGTATTAAAAAAAAACGCAGCTAATTCCAGTCCTTCTAAAACCACAATCGTGGGAGAGAAAACTCTTAGCACTGAAGCATGTCTAAGCCTGTGTGTCTGACTGACATGGCATTCTCAGCCTGTACAGTAGGCGGTCGGGTCAGGACTGAGCCCCTCAAGAAAAGCTGGCCACAGGTCTTTTAAGACCAAGACAAGTCACAGCCAAAGCAAAGGTAACAGTTGATTGACTACATCTAAAATTAAATCTGGGATCAGAGAAAAATCAAGGCCAGTAGTAAAATCTGACAAATGTAATCAACTGTACCTAAGTACAAATCAGAGGTACTTGTACTTTACCATAGTATTTTCTTTTCATGCCACTTTCTATTTTTTACTTGACTACATTTATCAGGTTAAGTTTAGTGGGTTACTAGTTCAGTTACAAATAATGACCTTTACACACAAAACATACATAGAGTTTTTAAAATGTGGCATTTTGTTATAAATCAAACGAAAGTACAGTCAATTAATACATTTGTCAACTGACAGAAACTATTTTCAGTCAGTTTTTACAAACCAATCAATCAATTCATGCAGAACAGATTAATCCAAATTACTAATTAGGTGCAGTCCTACAAAATAGTTCAAACTGAGCTCCACCAACAGTAAAATCATGCTTTTACATTAATGCACGAGTGATAATTATCCAATGATATAATAGTATAACCAGTTGCAGTGTGAATGTTTCTGCTTCGAGTACTTTTACTTTTAATACTACATTTTACTTATTCTACACAGGATGTTTACTTATAACACACTACTTTTACAGTGTGTTATTTGCACGTTTACTTAAGTAAAGTGCATAGTAAATACTTCCACCACCACTGACCAAGCTTGAATCTCTGTTCGCAACTAGCACCTTCCTTTTTATAAACATGTAGCAACCGAGTATACTTTTGTAATGGTGAAAACAGAAGTCTTTCACTATCAGAGTATGCCTTCAAACCTTTGAACATATAATGACACATCCAAAAAGAGGACGGTTGCAGCTGAGTAATACACATTCATACAGGAGACGCACATATTGCGCAAGTCTACTCAACTGTTAGCAAAGAGTCCAGTCTGCAGTGTAGTTCCTGATACACTTCACTGATAAACCAGATAATTACACAAAACATTAAAGTTTATGGTTACTGCTTGTTTGCTCCTATTAACATTAAGGTGATAATACACTGTGTTGATGGTTTTGTTGATTGTTTTCCTGTCCTTTATTCTAACTGATGAGAAAGACTTTTTCTCTGCCGGAGAAAAATCTGTAGGACTTAATAAAATAACCTAAAATCACCAAATACAACGTAAATACAACGAGTGGACAGTGGCATACTGGCACACACGAGAAAAGGGCTTTGTGTATTCTGCAATGAGACAGTGAATTATTCTGAGGGTAGGCTGAACGTACTCTGAATACACTATGTATATGTGTCACTGTATGATGACATTAGAATCACAGCCCCGAGCTCAGAAATGTGAGTTATTTTGTTATTGACAGTTTGTCAAAGCAATTACAAGTTGTAATGTTTATGATCAAGTATTAGTATTTCTCTTTTTATTAACTAATGGTGAGTGTCTGGAAGAAAGGTCATGAAACTAAGGAGCAGGTCATAAAGTAGACTGAGTCACTCGTATTGATCAGTAACATTATCAGCTTCCACGTGGACAGTGTATTATGTGTATTTTGTGCTACTACTGGTTAGTACAACTATTACTCTCCTTGTAGAAATGTGCTCGTCAGTTGGATAGAAACCTCTCTTCACTTTCTGTTTTTCTCCCTCTCTCACCTCTCTGCCTCCCCCACTCTCCGAGGTCACTGTACCTCCACAAAGGCCTCTTTTGTGCGGAGCCAGCCCCCCTCCTGACAGGCAGATGGAGGGACAGGCTTCCCATTCTCACAGGGCCATTTTCTCACAGCCCTCTGCTCTAGTCCTGCCTTTTAACGTCCCCGTCGTCAAGCTCTTTTCTTTCACTTTGCCCCGGGTGGTGGTCAGTCGTCCATTTGGTCGGCACCCCTGCTGTAAAGTGCTGCAAGGACGGCACGCAGCAGGTGCGTGTGTGTGTGTGTGTTTCCGATTGCTGAGATTGTTTTACAATGTCTTTTACTGGTGAAGCCCAGCCAGCTCTCTGACCTATGTCCTCTCTTTTGACCAGAGATTTAACAAGAGTAGATATGTGTGTGTGTGTGTATGTATGTTTGTGTCTTGATGTCGGTAGGGGGGCTGTTATGTGTGTGCAGATGGCCAGTTCAGATCAGCTGAGTCGGTTACTTGTCTCCTCTGTCCAATAACCTTTTCTACCATTCTGTGTGTGTGTGCAGGCTGAAAAGATTGCTTTTCTCTCATGCTTTAATGGACCCTGCAGTAAAAAGCATGCACTAAGAGGTCTGGAGTCATACATCCATCCCAACACAAGCCCTACTGTCAGTCCCGCAAACAAAATATATCTTTGGAGTATAAAATGCTTGCCAAATATAAGCTTGAAAAATGGCTCCAACGGTTTTTTAAAGCAATGTTTTTTGAAGATGTAGGCAGCTTTGAGGCATAGCTGTAACACATTTTAAAAAAGGATTTTTTGTTTTGTTTTGTACCATGGTAAATGTCACTGGTATTGGTTTGTCTGTTCTGGGCTACTGAAGAAAAACGGCAGTTCAACATGCCAAACTGCGTAAAAGAAGACTACAAAAAACAACGTGTTGTCCAACCATGTTGGAAATAAAAATGTCTTTATAGCTGTTCCAAATAGCCACACTGGTAAAAGGTAAAGATAGGTACAACAGATTACTCAATTACTGACCTGACTGATTTGTTCCCATTTTCCATTTTCCATGTGATCTTTTATCCTTCAGTATCTATGAATTGTGAGCACACATCTTTTACTGGAGGTTCTCAGAAACTAACCGGGGACTGAATCATCTATCAGCAGCAAGAATGATGAGGAGCTCAAAATGTCTGACAAATGATAACTGTCACTGAAAACCATTTTGTGCACTTCCAGAAGCCTGACAGGAGAGAATGAGTATGTGACTGATAGACAACCACCTGTTTTTCCTGCTTTTATTTAAAATCTTACATAATCCACATAGTTGGCCAATCACAGGGTGAAAAACCCATTTCAGGTTACCGGTTTCAGAGTTACAGAAATGGTCAGATCCCCACCTGTATTTCTACTGACGCTCCATATGTACAAATAAAATAAACACAATCTCCAAACCCGACAGAACACCTACCAGCAGGTGAGGATGCTGGCGGAGGTGAAGAGGATGATGGGTACTGGGTAGGAGGCGCACAGCAGCCCGTGGCGGTAGAAGGCCGCCGAGATCTTCTCTCTCAGCTGCTCGCGCAGCGTCATCCTGGTGGGTGGGGTCAACTCCCGGCCATTAGAAAGCACTGCGTGGCCGAGGACGGTGCGCCGCGGGGCATCCAGGGACCTGGTGGAGCCAGCGACACAGTAGGTTAACAGATCATTAAAACAACCTCACAGTTTCTGCTGTTTTTCACACTGTACAAACTACCACAGTGTATACACACAGATTCACCTCCACATCTACACGTAGAGTTCCTACCTTGAGGTTTTGATTAAATGGAATAACTTGGTAAACTCCTGCTCAACTTGACAAAATACGTGAAACAAAACTGTGGCCTCGGGGTACGTTGTATAAATATCATCTTAAGACTGGTTGGGAAAATCCTGAGGTACATCTCCACACACACACACACACACACACACACACACAAAGGGAAGCTCTGTCCTGAACACCTAATTAGTTGTATGCTCCATGTGTCACTACACGTGCCGCTGACTACAAGCATGGTGTGTTTTTCCCTTCAGACCAGCACTTAGAGGGGCTCACATGCTACACAGAACTTAAACACACGGCCCATTGACCAGCAAAGAAAGGTGTGGATGCATTCCCATGCAGGAAATATGCAACTCCGGCTGAGCAGATACACTGACGCAAACAACTCATCGATCACTCCTGAAAAACAACCAGCGGGTTCCCTGATAACGGCCTTTTGTTAGTGGACAACGGGTAACTTCCATTAAGGCAGGGAAGCACACAGGGATAAGCTGGCCAAGCTGGAAAAAGAGTTGAATTTAATGGAGGTCCTTTAAGTATTTACTAGTTCTGAAACAAGTAGTCCATTCATAGACTGACAAAGTAATTGACAACTTTAGAAATCAAAAGTTTTGATCATTTATTGGACAACAATATTCACATTTACTAATCTACACTTCTAAATATGAGAACTTATTTACTTTTACTTTTATCATCATTGCAAATTTTTTCACAATCTTCTAACATGAGTAACTGTCAGTGGCGGTCTTAATATTTACAGAGCTATGAACTCCAGAAACCAGATGATTTAAGTATATTTATTTTACAGTAGGAAGCCCTGAAACAACGCTGAAGGCTGATTTTGTTTAGGACTGAAAACAGCTTTTCCAGTGTGAAACTGTGATGCTTTCCTTAGTTGAATAACATTGTAAACTTTTTATCTTTGGGGTTTAGTCTCTTGGTTGGACAAATAAGACATTTGGAAGGTTTGCCTTGAGAAAACTGCAATCAACAATTTTCTGACATTTTATAAAACAAACGACTGAAAAAAATAAAATGATGAATTCATCCACTGGTTCCAACTCAAATATGAACATTTGCCGTTTTTCTATTGTGGTAGTACAGTAAACACGCAGGTTTTGGGCTGTTGGTTGGAAAAAGCAATTCGAAGATGTCACCTTAGGCTCTAGGAAACAGTGATGGGCTTTTTTTTCCCCATTTTTAAAAGGCCAGTGTGACTCACAGGACGTCGGCTGCCATTGGTCGACTTTCAGAGTTCCCGTCACTACCTGAAGCAACAACTTCCAACTAGCAACCTACACACTGAAAATGAAAACCACATAGTCATGCGTATTTTACTGGCCTTTTATTTTCATTTTAATGCCAGGGCTCAGCTCCCCTGTTTTGGTGCAATATTTGTAAAAATGCTAATAATAATACATAATAACAATACGTTCATCACCACAATAATATTCCACTAAACCTCAGAAATGTGATAATATTGAATTGTTGCTCAGGCATACTCAAAACTATAGTACTACTGTATTGTGGCTGATTGCCAGCAGCCTGAAGTTTTAGTTAATACAAGATGAACAAGATCTGAGCCCAAAAAAAGTGAAATCTTTGCCTTATAGGTGGTTCACCAACTTAAAACAAAATCAGTTTATTCAGTTTCCCATATCAGCTCAATCTCCTGTTGACTTTGCTGCCTAATCTCAGCTCTCGTCTCGCTGTTTACTCAGCAGACAGGTTCAGCGCTGCCAATCAGTCTTTTTAGTTACACACTGCTCTATTACAGTGTTTGACTGGCTCTCTGGCACACATACTGCAGCCGGACTTGTAGAGTATCTCATTCTACTGACCGTTATCACCTTACCATCCCTCTCTTAACTCAGCTATTTGTTAACCACACCAACACACAACAAAACAGCTCTGTCAGCCCAGCCGTTACCACGCTGTATCCATCATAGTGTGGAGCTGTTCAGAGACCGTACCTGCTAATGGGAGACCAGGTTATCTCTCTGGCTCGCGGCTGCTTATGTCCCCTGAAAGCAGCAGCACTGGGTTTTTTAAGCTTGAGCGGTGCCTTGTGGTTAACATGCTGCTCCCCTCTGGATTCAGGCAGAGTGTGCGACAGCTTGGCTCGTCCCCCCGGGAGCAACGGAAACATTCCCTGGGAGGAATTCACCTCAGGAGTCTCTTGATCTGCTGCTGTTATAAATACCCTATACAGTAAAAACAGCAACGTCCTGGCGAGCTTGCACAATGGGTTCTGCAAAGGTCACAAAGGGCTTTGAAGTAAAGCCTCTCTGCTCTGCGTTCCTGTAGGAAAGTCGACTCTCAGCCAGGTCGTGGTCCTGCTCACTGTCTTGCGAGGGAAAACTTTCAGCGAACGCCTCCATCGCTCAGCTGTCCGTCCAGTTCACTGCGTGCTGTGGTGTTACGTGGGTGCAGCAGCGAGACCTGATTTGGCAAACGCTCAGAAGCATCTCCGTCAGTGAACTAATCCGGGATTGAGCCGATCGGAAACTCAACGAGCAGGGCTCAGGGCCTATGGCCACCCCCCGCTGCTGCCCTCCTCCTCTGCTCACAGCTCGTAGGCAGTCTCCAACATTATATACACACACGCTGTGGCATGTCCGCAGAGGAACTAATATCTCAAAAGTTCGAGGGAGGCTTTAAGACTGAAACAACCGGGGTGGAAAATCAACAGGTCGAGTGCAGGTACACTGTTGTTTCAGGCCGGCCGGTTTGTGCTCCCAGCAGCCACTTTGGCGAGTGACCAGCAATTGTTTAGAAATCCTATTCTGTCGGGCCGGACGGTATTTGTTGGGATTTACCGACTACTACGGATGAGGGAATAAAAATAACATTTCTGCTTGAACCCAACAAAGTGCAAAGAAGTCCTCATGACAACAGCATGGGAAAACGTATCTAAAAACAAAAAAAACCCTGTGCTTTTGCGCTCACATGCCAGGCAACTGACAGTGTAACAAAGACCACATTTGCTTGCAAACAAATACACAATTGCAGACATGACAGACACACTGTTTCACATTGCAAGCGCAGATTCAGATAGGGAGATCATTATGGGTCTGTGCAGCTTAATAAGGAGGCTTCCAGACTTATTATGCCACATGCCAACAATATAACTGTAAGCATTTTGTTAAGGAAGAACTGCATCAGAGCTATTTCAAAACTAAGAGCGTACACTTAGAAATACACGACACTGGAGTGGGAGATTTGGAAAAAAGGCAAAAATACCAGCTTACCTCTTTTCAATACTCCCTAAAATGCCCAGTTTGAAGGCATCTCCCGGGTTCATAGATTCCAGTGGCATAACCAGCAACTTTCTGTATCATGCCTTATTAAAATAATTGTAATTTAATTACCAATATCCACAAACATTCCAGAGAACTTCAGGCTGTGTCCATTTTCCGCAAATTTATAACTGCATCGACGTTTAACCCCACAGTTGCATAACGTGGACGCATGCTCCTCTGATCTGTGAGTCCCATTAGTCCCGTTGGAAATGCAGAGACGAGCTCGATGTGGATGAGCAGACTACTGCAACACCGCCTTTTACAACCGGAGCTGTTGACAAAAGAGGGAAACGTCCTGTCAATCAGTAACCGTACGGTAAGAACGAGTCCGCACGAGGACTTCTTTATTTCTCACAAATGGAGGAAGAAGAAAATGAGAGCAGAGTAACAAAATGTATATATTACATTTGCTGTCCCAAGAATATTTCACTTGGAAGAGTCTCCATTTTACCAGCAAGCATTACAAGAGAGAGATTTATTTGTTTTTTACGCGGCTCCAACTCTTGTATATTTACTTCACCTAAAATGGGCCAGTAGTGTTTACACGTTGTCACTTAACTTCTGCAGCTGGACGTCAGGGAGTAAGGATCATTATAAAACCAACATCAGCCGGAGAGCAGACACACTGCAGTCAATACTGGCCCACTGACAGGTGAGACAACCATCAGGTTAACTTTGTCGTGCCTTCACCATCACGCAGGAAAAACAATCAGCCGGCAGAACACGACTGAATGATCGTCAGACTGCGAATACTCACTGCCTCTCCAATCCAGACCACGTTACACTCGCTCAACTGGTGAAACAGCCATCACACACACACACACACACATATACACACACATATATACACA